GAGGGTAGAGGGGGAGGGGCGGGGGAAAAGAATTCTAAAAAGAAACAGAAGTCTACTCGGCATGGGTCCATGTTTTTGTTTTCCCTTCATTCGAGAAGCTCCCTACACTACATATGTTTGCGTTCCTTGCTGTCGTTACCCTCTAAAAACCTCCAGAGCCGTCTCGCAAACCTCTCTGTAATTTCTCTTATGAAAACTTAGTTATCTATATACTAATAAAAACCAGATAGTGGTGGGCACAGAAAAATCTGGGGATTACGATAACACCATTAATAAAAACTCTCCAAGCCTGTGGTTGAGCTTCAAGAACAACCAGCAATATGAAAGTTTTGTTCTAACCCTCACCGGAAAACCACATATTCCAGGCACACTCTTAACCACACATTTTCTTTCGCCGAATATGCCCGCCTTCGGACGAGGGGATGACATAAAACTGTCGTAGAATAAGATCACGACGTTCTCATGCGAGAAAGTGATATTCATTATCAAGTTTTCGAGTTATTACAATGAATTCTCCCATTTAGAATCAAAGCAAAGTTCTTAATGCGTATGTGGCCCCTAAGTATGTGCTCTACGGCTCGATTTGCGACGTGTAGCCGATGCATAAGCCAGTGCTGTTATCCTCCCAGACGAGTATGATACCAGTTACCCTAACTAGAAAGAATACAAGTAGGCTTGATTGTTCTGAAAGGGTATCGATCTAGGATTCCACACCCAGACCCCGCTTGTAGTAGTGTGGGCCACTTCCCGCTACTTCAATTCTGGCCTTTTCAAGATTATATCACAGCCATAGCACATGCTCGTACTCTCCATGCTCTGCTCGTTCAGCATCGATTGCTCAGTACTTCACCACCGTGATGAGATGCAGAGAGGGAAGTGTTCTTGTCACTGACAATACTACCAAAGGAATTACTGATATGAGTGAGTACACAACGACGAGCATAAGAAAGAGTTAGGAAAAGGATCGTCCATGAGACTAGGGAGAAAGACAAGAAAAACCACATCTGAACAGAATGCCAATGCCGAGAGAAAAACGAAAACTATCTCGCTCTGATGACCGCTGAAACGTCTGCCTGTGTTATAAACGTCAACAAGAAATTTCCGAGGGACATCAATTGTCAAAAAAGTGGGCAAAAACTAGGCGTAAAAAGTGAAGTATCTCGGAGCGGCTGGATGATCATAATTGCGTGGTTTTTACCATCGCCGGCAGGCCACAGAACGGTGCTCGTCCAAAAAGTTGTGGTTGTCATTGTCGGCCTTGAAAGAAGTACTTCAGGCTCTCGAGTAATGGCAAAGCGGAGGGGAATCGAACCCGTACTAATGCTATGCGGGCACCGTGCTCTTATCCACCGGTACTGCTTGCCCTCGCCCTCAGAACGACCTTTGCCATAGCCGCGAGACTTTCGCATCGCATACAGCGACAAAATAATAGCAGTGAACCCAACGTAAAGTCAAAATAACTTCAGGTTTTATCCAGTGCGCCTCAGAAAATCATACAACAGAAATAGTGTTTTTCAGAGAACAAAGGAATTCGAGAAAAAAAAAACAGGGGATGAGCAATTTGCCCATTTGAGCAAGAGCGAAAAGCGAGAAATCAAAACGGAATCTACAGTGAGATTATCTCTCACTCAAGTTCGAATTCCTTATATTACAAAGAATCCCAATCCAGCTGATCTACTTTTTGGTATGCCCCTCATTAACTTCCACTCGCAATGTTATATGGCTAGAATGAATTCATCTATTGTTTTTCTAGGTTTGCCTAATTGTCAAAGGACCTGTTAGAGATTTCTGGGCGGAGGAAAACTTGGCTGAACCCGCTCGAGTTAAATCCAATCACCATGCATACGAAAGCTGAGGTGAGTGAAAAAGAAAACATTACTACATAGAATGTTAATTTCGACAACAGCACTGGAACGAACCGTGGGTTATGCAATCAAAATCATACATCAAACTAGTTCCAAACGTTTTTCGAATACATTTGTATAATTGAATGTTTCCTAGGTCATCCATATCAAAATTTCTCCATAACTTTACTTTACATACCGGTTACTCACCTACAAGGAGCCTATACGGCTGGCCGCAGGTCTAGTAAGCTAGTAAATATGCCCACAACCTGTAATGGAAGTCAGAGTACTCTGAACAGAATCAATCCAGCGTACAAGCCTTTCTTATTCGAAGTTGCATTTTGCTCTGAATTGAATTAACATTGCAGAATAATCTTCATGGTCCCATGTGTTGAAGAACTCTCCACTTAAGGGAACATCGTTCCCTGCTGTTTGTGAATATGTATATCACGTCACTAAACCCTAATAGACATGATTGATGAGCAGTAGCATGCATGACTCAAGTTACTGAGGATTCAACCCACACCAAGGGAGGAAACTGTGGTTAAACTGGTCAAATCAGCAGCTGTATATTTACTATTCAGAGCAGTGCAAGTGGAGTGCTGAACACGGTCATATCTCCAGTGTGATAAATGCATGCTCAGAGGCACAGATAAAAATGGTTCCTGGAGTATCCCAGTAGGACGGATCTACGGCTCCTTAGTATACGCTATATAGCGGTTATCAGAACGGAAAACTTCCTTGATAGGGATTTATAGTAGCTCAAAGATTGTATCGGCTGTATGCCACACCCAAAAGCGGACGAGTTCCAACGGCGCCGTGGAAGCCGCACCATTCACGGTGATACTCAATTTGGGAATTCAAGTACTCAGTCATGGAGACAATGGAAGCCAATTTTGGATACTTATAGCTTCATTTTGCCAACTCTTTATGCATTTGCAAAGACTGAGATTTCATTGAAATATCCTTCCCATTCCCTTCATGGCCATCTCGTACGACCTCTATTTTCACTGCTTTTGAGAAGCCTTGGTTTTCTAGGAGTTTCTAGGATCTCTTGTCAACTTGGAAAGGCTGCTATAAAATTATTGTGAATATGTCATAAAGAATGTAATAGAAAAAAGATGATGAACTGACATAATTAGGCAGGTTCCCCAAAGCTGCACATTATCAGCGCCCTGTGATAATCTCGAAGACATCGCATCCACCGAATCGCACGGCTGTGGGAGCATGGACCAATAAATCGTGCGAGTCCTTAGACTGCTTGAACTTAGAAAAAAAAGTAGACGCAGAACTTTAGAAACCAACAGACGTGTCTAGAACATATCTCATCATCGCTAAATGCAGTGTTGACCTTGGTTTTCTGTAGGATGACGAGGTAATAATATCTGCGGTGGGGGAGGTACTTCTAGAGAAAATAGCGGTAGTGGATAGTTTCAAGGATCACTTGAAAAAGGTCACAACAAAAAGAGAGGGCTAAGAGGGTCGAGAGAATTTACTACGAACCGTTGACAGAAACAGATGTCCCAAAGCGATTCTCCGCCGACGACATAATAATTGGCTTCATGAGAGCAGTAATGAGGCTCGAACCCACGAAGCCCAGATCAATTTTTGTGAGGGTCTGTTACAATGGAATATATAGCACGTGTGAGAGGACAAAAATGTGGATATCCCGTCGCAGTGCCCGTACTTTCCATGAATCTTCCCAAATGAAGCAGGGTTTCTAAAGTATTTTGGAACGAATGCGAAGAAACCTGCGTGACCAACTCCTGAAGTGCCCATACAACACCTTATCGTTATACTGGCAACTCAGTCTGCTCACGAGCACCTTCAGTTCCACCAAGCTTCAAGCTTCTGTTCCAAATCGTAGAGGAACTTCGATCAGTGAGCAGCCTACAATGAATTACGGTAGGCAGCTCGCCTAGGGTCAGTGTCGTCATTCATCCAATAAGCCCATCACCAATTCCCGCTTGGTCACTCTACTTATCGAGATCGCAGACCAGCTCACTATTTACACAGCAAGACATTGCATCACTGGACAAATCACAGAAAAAACTAAGTTTATTGGCTGTCCAACCCCTGTTTTGCTATTCTAGAGTGATCTTATAATTTTCTCTACAGGTTATTACCAGATATTCGGATAGATGAGCAAGAATCCAAGAAAAAACATCCGTTTTTCACACACTACTCGGACTGCCCGGCTGACGCCAGCCCATATTCCTTCTTATATAGTAGAGACAGGACTTTGTTCAAACAGAGGCGTACTTCCTTTCGACATGAATAGCTCATGATTTCTGAAATCCTGTTTATAAACTTTACATTTTACATTTTATTACGGAATCAACTCATATTCGAATGCCGTATCATGGCCTAATTGAACCCTTCCTTCATCATACTCCACCAGTTTTTCCGATCTTTTTCGACAACTCATCGATTGAACACATTGAACACAAGGGTGTCCTCGCCTTCTTCTGTCCACGTAGTCATATGGAATCCCTGTCGTATTCACGCGAGCCCATACATTCTCGTCCATTTCACGTAGCTTTTTGGCCCACATGAGTTTTTTCCTTGAAGCCTCGTTTGTTAAGTCACTGACTTTCGTGAATGCTCTTATCCTGTTACAGCTCCGTCGGTCCAGCATACGTAACCCAAGCACTCCTTTGAGTTACGCACCAATTTCTAATATCCGATTTTCGTTTTTTTTTTTCGTGATCAACCGAGACAAAAGCCTTTCCATCGATACATGTAGGATGTCTCGACGTTTTATCCCTTGTCAGTAGTTTTGACTTTTCTGTGTTAATGTGGAGTCCGACCTTAGTAGATGCATTTGAAAGGAGTTGCAGCATCTTTTTGAGCATGGGACGAGAGGAAGCCATGTAACGTCGTCTGCATATTCAAGACTGAGAAGCAATCCTCCTCCAATACTTAGTCCACATTCTTCCCAGTCATTGGAGTCGAGTACCATTTGTAAGGGGGCGTTGAAGAGTTTCGGGCTACATGTGTCTCCTTGTTTGATGCCTCTTTGCATGGTGACTGTGACTGGTCGAGTGTTAACAAGAACGGGCGTGGAAGAAGATTCGTAAAGTCTTCGTAGCATATCTATTAGTTTTGGATGGACATCTCTTTTTGCAAGCGCTGTCCACATTGTGGACCACGCCAAACTTTCCAAAGCTTTTTTGTAGTCGACGAGGGCAACGTGGACAGGGAAATTGTATTCAGCACTCTTTTCGGCAATTTGTTTGAGAACATGAACCTTATTCAGGAAGAAGTACTTTCTTCGGAATCCGACTTGACTTGGGCTCTCTGACTCTTCTAGTTTTTGTCTACGCGATTCAAGATGGCTCTCGTAACTGCTTTGAGTATCACGGTATAGTGGAAGGGGTCGGAAGTGCTTACATTATTGGGATCTCTCTTTTTGAAAAACAATTTCACGTGAGCAGAAGTTAAATTTTCTGGAATAGGGTTGCGATCAATACTGTCCAGAAGTGCTGTGAGCAAGGGGCAATTGTGGGTTTTGCGAGAGCTAACTGCTCTGCTGAAGTGCGGTCTGGGCCGCGAGATTTTGGAAGGCGTTGTGAAAGAGGATGTTCCGATCTATCAATGCAGAGAGGAGAGCAGGGATGGAAGATGGAATGCTCAGAGGAAAGTCAACGGTTGATTACCTCGATTTCGGTTGCCCGCTGTGGGAACTCTCCCGTTTTCGAGAGATTTATCAGCAATCTTCTTTTTCTAAGGACTTCTTTTCTCTGCACTTCAATCATACTTCTGCCTATGTCAATCTCTTTTTGTACAATTATGGTTTTCAGCGGACGAATATCCTCCAGCTGCTTTGCAAATGGTGGGGTATGCGACGCGACCAAATGAAGATAGGTTATTTTGGAGAGTGATTCGCTCGGAGAGGAGAGCCTGTGTTCTGAGGCTGATTCTTGGGGGGTCTGTTCGGGTGGACCAGCATCCATTTGCGGCTCTACAGATAATCGAATACTTTCGTAGGCTTCCTGTGCATTTTAGGACAAGGCTGATTAGGGAGCAGACTGGACGAACTTTGTACAACTCACGGTCTAGGTGAAGCCGGCTTAGAGGAGAGCGATGTGACTAAATTGAGGTACGACCGACATTATTGCGAACTGCTATTTGCATTAGAATCAGGCAATGATCAGAAAGGAATGAAAAATTTCCATGTTCGCCTCTCTTGAAACCTGGGCATCGGTACTAATATTATATAATGCTTCTGTGCCGCACAGGTTTTTTAATGGTGGAATGTTTATTCGCCTAACGTTTCGACAAGATCGTCGTTTCCAAAAGCCTGAAAGCGTAT